GACATAGAAGCTGGAAAGGACCTCATAGTCAATTATGGTCAGAGCCAGGACTGGAAACCAAGTATTCTGATTCTGTCTTCTGTTCCTTTTACTACATATGTTCAGATAATCATAATAAACTAACCTTTCTCTAACCCTTTAAGATTTATAAAATGTGTACTTAGAGTTGGAAGTGACATTAAAGGTCTAGTCCAACCCTCTCACTTTACAGAAAAGGAAACTGAGGCCACAAGAGGTCAGAGAACTTGCCCAAGGTCACATAGGTAATAAGGGGCAGAGTAAGATTTGGAACTGAAAATCCTGTGACTCCCAAGTTCAGCACTTCCTCCTGCATCACAAAGTCTCACAACTGCCCATTAAAGTAGGTAATTGGTGTCCCCATATCTGTAACCCACCTTTTGCAAGGAGCCTTTCCTAGTCCTTAATCTTAGTGCTTTCCCTCTGAGATTACTCCCAACTTCTCTCATCTACAGCTTGTTTGTACATAATTGTTTGCATGTTGTTTCTCCCATTTGACAGTAAGCTCCTTGAAGGCAGGGACTACCTTTTGCTTTTGTATACCTAGCAGTTAGCACAGTGCCTGACACATAGAGACACTTAATAGCAGCTGACTGACAAAATGAAGAGTAAATAGAGGCTCTCGGAAGTTAATAGACTCATAAGCGGTCATATAGCTAGTAAGCATAATAGTAGGCAAGATTCCAATGCTGGCCTCTCTTGACTCCAAGTCATTATGCCGCCAACAAACATGACAATGAAGCATGATGCAAGAGAGCTGATGATCCCATCATATTCAATTATAGTTAGAACACATCTGAAGAACTGGGCTCAGTTCTGGGCACCATATTTTAGTAAAGACATTTGACAAAGCAGAGCAAATCCAGAGGAAGGTAGGATGGAACTAGAGACCATACCATATGAGGATGAGTTGAAGGAATGAACGTGTTCCTCTGGAGGACTTATGAGAGACCTAATCATTGTCTTCAAATATTTTGGAGAGTTGTCATGAGGGAGAAGAATCAGACTCCAAAAGGAAAAATTAGAACCAATGGGCAGAGGGTAAAAGAAGGCAGATTTCAACTCAATGGAAGAGAAAAAATCTTTCTTACCAATTAGACATTGTCCATGAATGAGAAATAATGGAACAACCCAGACAGGTCAATGGTAGATAATGAAATCCCTCTCAGTCACTGAGAGTATCCAAGCAAAGGTTGGGAAATCATGATAGCTGGCATTTAAAGCTTGAAAGTGCTTTGCAGAAATGATCTCATTAGAACTTCACAACAACCCTGTGAGGTAAGGTGCACAGGCATCATTCTTTCCATTTTACAGATGAGCAAACTGAGGCTTAGCAAGGTTAAATGCCTTCCCAATGGTCACACAGCTAGGAAGTATCTGCAGTAGGATTTATTTCTGGGTTGCTCCTAACTCCGAGATCAATACCCTTTCTGCTACACCATGATGCAGCCACAACATAAAGAGGATTCCTAAACTGGGTGGGAGGATGGGACTCAATGACTCAATTCCCTTAAAGTTCCTATGATCTGGAGATTAAATAAGACCCCATTCTATCTTTCCTTTCTCCCATACTCAGCCCTCAGACTAGGTCCTAGCACAACCAAGTCTGTGTTTCTAAGCATCTCAAAGTATTTTAATAGCAGCTCCTCTCATTACCACTTCCCTGAACCATAGCAACAATCTTATAATAGGTCTCCCCACCTCGTACCTTTTGGCTCCTCAAATCTTCCGAGCCTATAACATTTCCTCCTATAACATTTCAAGGTTTACAAAACACTTTACATACATTCATTTGATCCTCATGATTACATTGTGAGGTAGGTATTGCAAGTGTTATTAGTCTCATTTTACAGATGAGGAAACTGAGGGTAATAGAAGTGGTGGGACTTGTCCATGGTTGTAGTGACCAAAATGAGATTTGAACATGGATCCTCATTTCATATCTAATCACCATTGATTCTACCATAGCTGTTTTCCCTCACACCAGGGCCAGATGGATCTTCCTCATGTCTCTCCAGACATGTTTTCTCTGTTCATTTCCCTGTTCAAAACCCTCCATTGGCTTCTTATGACCTACAGAATCAATCTTCTCTGCCTGGCTTCCAAGGCCCTTGTAGTCTGGAGCTATTCTATCTTGCACTAATCCCCCTTCACAAATGGGAACTACTTGCCGCCACCCCACCCCACCCCAGTACACCCTCCATTTCCTCTCTTGGGTTCAAGTCAAAGTTATGACTCTTATTAGCTGTGTCTGATTCTTATTAGGGAGGTCACTTCACCTTTTTGACTACCCATTTCCTCATTTTAAAAATAGGGACATAATGATTTGTTTTCTATTACGTTACACCTTGTTGTAATATATTGCATAAATTCTCATTTAAATCATGCTTTTCAGTTTTAGTTTTCCTATACCAACACCATGAGGTAGATAATGGAAGTATTATTATCCCCATTTTACAGATAAAGAAACTGAGCCTTGGTTAGATTATGTGACTTAGTCCCATGGCTGGTTAGTGACAAAGCCAGGGATTTGAATTGATCTGACTCCAAGTTGACTACTCTTTACACGTCACATTGCCTCCACTCTTAAACTACATATCTCACAAGGTTGTTGTGAGAAATGCATGCTAGGACCAGCTAAACTCTTATTGTCTGTGACCTTAACAGTGTGGATAGTAGTTCCTCCCCTGACACACATTGCAACCCTTCAACATCTCATACTAATGCTATCCTTGTTGATCTTTTGTACGTAGATCCATCTTTGGATGGATCCTTTCCTTTGCTAAATCATGGACACCAGGGCAACCATGACTGTCTATGTTTTAAACCTCAGTCTCTCTACCTGAGCATCACACCTCCTTTGGTGGTTACATCCTTGATGGTATCACCCATTTTCCATGTCCAAGTCACCATTGGCAAGATGCTACTACTAACTTCCATCCACCATACATATTACCTCAGGTTACCTACAACTTGGATTCTTCTGAGATAGTGGATTCCACGTTGAAAATCATACTCTTGGTGTTAAAAACATGGATTGGGGGAGTGGGGTGGGTACAAGTAGCTCGGAGTCATCATGAGCATTGTTTAAGTTCCCAAATGGGATCCAGTCTAATTTCTTCCTTCTATATAATCATGGATCCACCTCATTGTTCATTAGTAGCATATATCTAAGAGAGAGAGAGAGGAAGGAAGGGAGAGAGGAAGATACTCCGATGTACTAACTCAAGGGCCAACCTATGTTATAATCTGGGTAACATGTTTTCCATTCTCTTTACATTTTAAGTCTTTTGGAAACTTTTGAAAACTTTTGAAAACATGTGGCTCTCATTTGAGATGTCCTAGCATTCCAGAATTCATTGCAATTAGCACAATAAAATCTACAAAAAGGAACACTAGGAGAACTTCACCATGAACAAGGAATCCCTAAGCAGCCTCTATGCTTGGCAAACACATTAGGGGCACTTGGTATTATCCAATGAGGTCATGGAATGCTATCTCTGCAGGTTTTCTGTTTAGGATCTTGCACGTTTTTAACATATACATGGGGAAAACCTGGCTTGATGAGAGTCTTTAAAGATTTTTTTTTTTTGCTCTACTAAGTCAAATGCTCTTGAAATCAAGAAATAAACATCAGGACATTACATTCTCTACCCATTTGTTAGTTGGGTGGTTTTAAGGTGTGATCTGCCTGATAAAAATCAACTAAAAAAAAGCCCATTTCCTTCTCACACTTTCATTAAGGCTACTTTCAGTGCACATATAGACCACTGTCAAAATTTATTTTATACATGAGAAAGCAGGTATATGGGGTTGGTAGTTGCTGACAGCTCCTTAATTGTTTTGAGTGAGGAAAAGGAAATAGAAGACTGCCTAGGAGCTTTTCCACTTTTGGAATTTTCCCCTCCTTCCCCCACCCTGCCCCCATGCGCTTTTAAAATTGTGTTGTCTGCAATACAGCTTTATTCTGTATTGTATTTGGTCACATCCAGTCATTCATACTAACTTAATTTTTTAAAATGGCATTGCTATTGCTTCAATACTACAATCAAGCATGGTGAAGTCCAAAAGTGGTGTTCCCACTATTGTCACTGATGAGGATACAGATGCAGAAATGAAGGCATACCTGTTCACTTCTATTTATTGGTCTCCTTCCTGTTTTAATTTTTGAAATCTCTCAGAATGTACAATTTAGCTACATCTAAAACCAAGTTCTCAGTAAATGTATTTTGGGGTGATGTTTCTTATTATCTTTCTCTATACTATTCTGTAAATGAAGTTGTACTCTATAGTCAGGATTGTCCTTGGCTACAAGTCTTCCAGCTAAGGTAGTTTCTTGGGTCCTTCATCCGCACTGTAGTGACTTCTGCCTTAATTAAAACCTAAGAAACAGAGAGAGTCAAGAGTCCATGTTCTTTTTGTCCATTTCCCACTTTTTTAGAACCAATGACTTGATTAAGCAGATCAGAACAAACTTCCATATATTCATGCAGTCTTCTCTCATCACCAATTACGATCTTTGTCCTATCCAGTTGGTCTTGAAATGACTCTCTGTTGGTAACCAAAAGTTCCCTGTCTAGACATTGTCTCCTAAGTTATAGTCACTTTCATTTGTGTGTGTGTGTGTGTGTGTGATGAAATTTGGTGCTCATCACATTCAACTCCAACTTTCTTGAAGAAAATATTCATGATGGGCTGTCCAGCTTCTGAGCAATCTACAATGCTTTCCCTTCCTTCATTCTTTGAACTTAAACCAACATTTTTGACATTGTTTCTGTTGTTCTCCCTTGTGCCCATCTTTGTACTGAAGTCACTGAGTAGTAACATTAAGTAGTAAGTTAACTCTGGGAAGGACCTCCATAGCCTCTTCATAGAACTTCCTTCATCCCCTGAAACAGATGGTTGTCCGTAAGCAGCGATTCTCTTCATGGCTGTTGGTTTGCCGATTCGAATCACAAGCATTGCAAAGTGAGATGACCAAGTAATCTGTGAAATCAATGCCTTTATTTAGCTCTCCAAGAACCTACAAGTCATTCTACTAGTTACTGCAACTATCTTATATCTTCTATTTTATTTATAGCAAGATTAATATGGGTATGCTTAATAACCTGCATTTATATAGCTCTTTTAGGTTTACAAAGCATTGTTCAGTACATACGATTATCCCCACTCTATAGAATGAGGCTCAGTGAGTTTAAGTGACTTGCCCAGGCTCACATAGCTAAGCGTCAGAACCAGGATCTGAATCCAAGTCTGGCCTGTGTCTAAAATTAGCATCCTTTCCCTTACAGCACACTGCTTCTCGATCTCAATGAACAGATTACTCCAATAGAATATCAAATTTTGGGTCATTAAACACAAGTTGCACGTAAGCGTTAGTTTATAGAAAAGTTTGAAAACTGGTTCTAAAAAACTGATACTTAGCATCTCCTGCCCTCTTTCTCCACCACCATCACTGAGGGAGATGGAGGCCACACAGCACCTTTCTGATTTTTGCTTTGAGTGTCACCATGGCCAACAATATCATTGTCTCATGGCCAGTCTTCCAGTAATGAGCCTTTCATAGCAGAAGCAATGTTACACAGTGGAAAGAACCAGATTTAAAATCCTGGCTCTGCCATTCGGTGCCCACATGACCCCTTCACCACCTCTCTGGGCCTCAGCTTCGTTATTCTTCTACCCATCCTTCAAACCTCAGTTCTAATGCCACTTCCATACAGCCTTCCTCGATCTCACCCCTTGAACACGAGCTTTCCTTCACTTTCCTTTGTCGCACCTTTCAATTTTTACCTTCTCGTTGGTGTCAAAGCCCCCCTTTAAGACTCTTAAACTTCATGGAAAGGAGTGTTCTAATCTTTTCTCTTCCCCAGCAGTTAAGAGTACTCTGTAATAAACTGGTGCTTAATAAATGGTTGTGGAACACTAATGGTTCTCAGGAGATAATTAAGTTCCCTTTTTTCCCCTTAGGCTCTTCTAAAAGCAAAAGTGGCACTGGTGGTCCCAGGGTGTTGCCTTGGAGGAAGGAGTTGAGGCACATGAGGGTGGCTTCCAGTTAGGCTGGCAGGGATTTGTGAGGTCAAGGCCTGGAGAAATGATTCTGATGCTCACCCCACTCCCAGCCAGGGAGCATCCTTTCAATGACTTATTTTATTTCCTCTTATAAATGGGCACAACACAGAAAGAATTAAAAAATAATAATAATAATAATAATAATGGTACCATTACAGGATTGGGCCAAGAGCCCAGGGCTTGGACTAGTTCCTCCCCTGCCCCTGACATGATGGGGAAGGGTTCAGTTGGTCTCTTTCTCCCTTGTTATTCAAAAGTTTTGGCCATAAACTCAGGACAAAAACAGTTAACAAACAGGTTGACTGGGAGGGATATAGATAGGGTGGGGGTAGGGGGTTTCTGCTCTCCCCATTCTTCCACCTGGATGCACAGACAATTGCCCCTCCAAGTCCCAGGCCCAGGGGTGGTTCTATAGAGGGAGAGCCCCCAAAGAGGGGTCTGCTGCATGAGACAGTTCCTGTTAAAAATATTTACATGCATTCACACTATTTGGGGGACAGGGCCATGGTGCCAGCTGCAGTCCAGGAGGCTTCTTCAGGGTGAGTGCCAGAGCCTGGGACTTTCAGAAGCTCTCTAGACTGGACCATGTACCCTGAGATCCTCAATCCCCAGGTCTTTTGCCGATCTTGCTATCTGTAAATCTATACAGGCTTCTTCAATTCCTATTTACAAGGAGAGCAGCCTAGGGTCACTGCCCCATGAATGGGGAGAGGAGGAAGGGGTGGCTATAAAACATGGAGGAATATTTGTCCTGAAATTGTGGATGAGATGCCCTGAAAGAGAAAAGGTGCCCTAGAAAATGCATAGGGACACCCCAAAAGGCAGCTTTTTACAACGAAGCTGCCTTGCTAATAGTTGAGTCTAGGGAGAATGGGAATGTCTGCTTCCTGGCAGCCCTCCCAACCCAAGCTCTCAGCATCTCTCAGGCCCTGAATCCAACACCAGCTGACCCACAAGGGGGCCCCAAGCTCCTGACCACAAGGCTCCTCAGCCCAGTTAGCTTTCTCCTCTACCTTCCTTTTCCCATTGGGCACTGTACTAGTGGCCATTCCCATCAGTTCCCAAGGACCCCCAGAAATGGGAGAAATGAGTCACCAAAGACGGTCTCCTCAGGGACTGTTGTTCCTGGGGTTGAGGTGAACCAAGGCTGTAGACACAATGACCCAACTCCTTGAGGGCTTCCTCCAGCCCCTAACCCCCCAACTTTCCTTGCCTAGAGGAAGCTCTCAGGCTATATGAACTCCCCTCTGGCTAGACTGCCCTCATTACACACATAACTCACTTCTGGCAACCTGCTACCTATAGCTTCTCACCCCCCTCCCCACCCCCAAGAGATCCTCCCCAAGCCAAGCCCTTGCCTAGAAATGGGGTCATTCGAACACGCCAGATGCTGTGACATTCATATCATACCCATGGTCAGATAAAGGAAGGGGAGGTCCCAGGAAAGGAACACTGACAGTAGCTTGACCCCTCTCCACACTCTCCCCACCAGTTTTCTGGGAGCAGTATTACCTCATCTTTACTTCTCAGAGTCCCTTCCCATTTCTATCCACAAGACCATACGTCAATTCAGACTTGGGAACCCATGGTGACGTGACAACTTTAGGGACAAAAGATGAAGCCTAGGAAAAGGTCACTAGTATAGGGATCCAGAAGGGGCAACTGGTATTCAGAAAACCCTATTCCCTGCCCCTCCTCACTTGAACATGAGGACCAACTTCTCCCCAGCTGTGCTCTGGCACTCCAGTGAGCTCCTAGCCTGAGGAAGACTGGCCCCACTAGGCATCTTGGAGATGACACTAGACTCTTCCTCAAGGCCTGCCAACCACCATGGCCCTACAAGTGGGTGGTTGGAGAAACAAGACTGATGGGAGAAGGCAAGTACCAGTGCTACAAGTGGGCAGAAGGCCCTGGATCGAACTGAAAATAGGTTCTGGACAGGAGTCTGCAGGAGGAAATGAGGCAGCAGGGAGCAGCATCTGGAGACCCTTCCACACCTCCCTCCTGGGATCTGGTCCATCAGCTCAAGCTGCCATCCAGGAGTCAGACCAGACTTTTCTCCCTGCTTTCACATTCCCCCAGAAGCTACAAGCCTCTCCCCATCCCCCCACTTCAGAATTCACCAAGGGGGTGGCCTGACTTTCTGGCTTTGGGCCGGAGGAGCCGATAAAGCACAGGGAATGAGATCAATAGGACATTAAGGGTGGGGATAGGAGGCAAGAAGTCCAAAAACCAGGACTCTATCCCTGGAACTCCTTTTGGCCTCTCCTCCCCCAGCACAAAACCACCTCCCCCAAGTTTGAGACAGCCCGCAACAGGCTCCATGCCTCTGAAGGAGAGTGTTTCTGTCCAGAACAGACCGGCCCCAGCGCGAGGCCCACAGGTGACCATGCTGTTTCAGTTCTCGACTGTCAGCTTTGGGTGGCTCCCCGGGAGGCCCAGGGTCCAGGTGCGGAGGCCTCCAACAGCAGATGCTCTGAAGAGATGGTAGGTTCCTCAGGTCTCTCAAGGGGGCAGAAGATAGAAACTGTATGGGCCAGGCTTTGTCTATGAACATGGCACCACTCTCAGACAAGGTCTAAGAGTATGGAGATGCCTGGACAGGGACAAGGAAGAGTGGAGTCCGTAAGACAGGGAGCCCCCTGCCAGCAGAATCTTCACCAACCACAAGTTCTGGGGCAGGGACCTCCCAACCGGCTCCTGGGAGCCCTCTGGGGAGAAGGCACCAAAGGGCCTTGGGATGATCAACAGTCCCCCCACAGGGGTTCCCAAAGGGGAGGGCCAGTGTCCACATACTAGTCAAGAGGCAGCAGGGCTGGGCAGAGGGCTAGGGGCTGCTCATGTCTCCATCCAGGCAGGCACTAAGTGGCTTCCGAGAGGTGGCAGACACCTAGGCCCATGAACTGGTGGGTGCCAGCTTCGCCTTGGAAGTCAAGGGCCTGAGGCCATTCCTAGGAAGTCAGTCAGTTTCAGTGAAAGTCCTTCCTTCCCCATTTCCATGCCTAGTCCGTGAAGGAGGGAGTCTGGAACTGGCAGACTGGAAGCACCCTTACAACTCCACCACAGAAGTCAGGCCCTGGTTCCTGGGTTCACCAGGAGTGTCCCCTTCCTTCCAAATTCACAGGATCATCCTTAAAGCTGAACCTGTCAGACTATTCTTCCATCCCACCACCCACCCTGGCTTGTCCCACTAGCTCCATGAATCCAGGAAAGGAGCAAATAATCTGTCAGCACAGGGAGAGGTGGAAGACAGGCACCAGAACCTTCAGGGAAAAGCAGCTTCCCCACTCCCTCCTTCTCATCTTTTCTTTTAAAGAGATTCCCCAGCTGCCCGGCTCCAGCATGTGAGAACATGAGGCTGGTGATACCAACTCAGGGTATGTCAATGACTGGCGTGTGGGAGAATTCTGCTGGGACACATGAGGGTATGGCTGATGGGCCTGGTGTATGTGACTTTTTTGTGACTGTCTGCATGCTAGGTCATGTGAGTGATATACGTGGCTGGTTGTGACGAAGTCGTGTCTGGCAAACACTCCTCCTTGGGTGGCTGCTGTGCCTTGAGCAGAACATCTCTGCCCAGACGCTCCCCCCACCCTCGCCAGCTCGAGCCACAGAGACAGTCTGTGCCCAGTCTGGCAAGGAGGATGGGGGAGGGAGAGAAGGAATGTCCCCCCTCCTCTGGAGAAGGCTTGAGCCAGCCACTCTCAGGCACTCTTGGCAAAGCCACACGCTTGTTAACCCTGACGCTGGTTGGCACTGGGAGGTAACTCAAGGTTTGGTCTGAGAGATCCCCAGGAGCAGGGGGAAGGGGCAAGGGAGGGTGGAGAACCTGCAGGCTCCCCACTCACTCCCCTCTCCCACTATCGCCCCTCTTCCACTCAGACTCTCTCTCCCTCTTCCTCTCTATCCTCCCCCCACCTTCAATCCAGCACTGTCCACAGGGCTCACTTGCCATGGCCAAAACGTGTCTGCCTAAGAGATGGCATTGGCTGCCATGGGTCCCTAAAACCACTAAGCTAAGGGTTCACGGCCCCATGACAAAAGGTGCCCCGCTGCCAGTCCAGGAGAAAACTCCCAGTCCCAATGAGAAGGCCATTGACAGCCCAAGGGAGCAGAGAAAGGGATTCCCCATCTCGCCCCCTCATTTGTCAACCAAAGAAAGTTCTGTCTGACTCTTAACTTCTCCCACAGATAGGAATCTGGCCCAGAGTCCCTGGAGCCCCAGCCTCTGGCTCCTCTGGAGCTTGGATGCTGATCAGAGCTCCTCTGGGAGTAAGTGGGGCCTGGGGAGAGGGGATCCAGGCTCTGTAGATGGGAGAGGGGAGGCTGGCTGCCTCCTTTCCAAGGTCCCGCCCCACGTGCCAGAGGGAGGGCACAAAGGTTTGCGGACAATGTGCCCCTGCACCAGCAGTAACTTGGGTCCAGTGCAGCAGAGGGATTCAGAAGACTCACAGTTCTGTCCAAGGGGTTAGCAAAAAGGGGGAAGGAGAGGAGAGGAAGGCCAGGGGGAAGGGAGGGAAGAGGAGAGGCACCGAGGTCCCTCTAGGCATAGAACTCCTCCTGTTTGTCCGGCTTCTGGTACGTGACGCTGGCCTGCTTCGGCTCCTCCAACGTGTAGCTTCCTTCATCCTTTTTCTTCATGCGGTAGATGAGGAGCGTGACCAGAAAGGCAGCAAAGAGGGCTCCGACCACCCCACCCACAATCACCGCTGCAGGGAAGAATGAAGAAGCAGGGTTTGGGCCCGGGGCCGTGGAGGCTGGACTGAAGGAGGGCAGGTGGTCAGGGCTGAGGGACTGGGAAGTGGGGTAGGGCCAACTCCAGGCTCTCGTTCTTGCTGCCACATCCCCCCAAGTGGAACAGGGACCCCCTAGTTTAAAGAGGGACCCTGAAGCCTGAGCTAGTGAGGATCCCCTGGGAGAAAAGGAACTATGAGTGCATGAATAATGAACGAATGAATGGAACACTCAGTGAGAGTTTTAAGTTCTGGGGACACGAGAACTCCACCCTTCCATCCTTCCTTTCTCCTTCCTCCCATCTCCTATCCCCCCCTCTGCCCCTCCCCCAACCTCAGCCAGCTCTCACCTACTAAAACTTCCTTCCTCTCCAGGATATTCTTCTGAGGCAGCTGGGCTGCTGAGTTACCCAAGTCGATGGTGTTATCAAACAGGCCTGGCCCCGGCTGTTCATCCTTGGGCTTTACTCCTGCTGAGGCGGTCGTGGTCTTTTCACCCACTGCCACCACTTCATTGTCCAGCTCCGGCTGGGTGATCCCCTCCTCTGGGGGCTCCGCGTCCCCGCTGGGGAATGGTACCTCTGCCTCTACTTCCTGGTTTGTAGCCAGTGGGGCCTCTGGGGTAGGGGTCTGCAGGGACGGAAAACAGAGAGGCAGGAGAGTGGGCAGGGGCCTCGCAGGGTTGGCTCAAGGCTCCCGTCCTTTCCCCAGCCTGGAAATCCCCCACTGGGCCGTCGCCATCACTCCCCCACCCCCAACCTGGAAAGACAAGTTCTCCCTCTCCTCCCAACCCCACAGACACCCCCGTGCCAAGCAGAAAGAACAGAGAGCAAAGAGAAAGGAAGGAGGAGAGGCAGGAGGAGAAAAGGAGAGAAAACAGCCAGAGAGAGAGAAGAAGAGGGGAACAAAAGGAGGAAAAGAAAGGGGGTACATGATGGGATGAGGTTTTGTTGGACTCTAATTATGTGTTGCAAGAAAAGGCTCTATTTGAGGAGGATCACCGAAAAGTGATATTGATGTAAAAATGCAAACAATGAACCATTTTGAAAGAAAAAAAAAAAGGAAGTCAAGAAAGGGGTGGGGAGAAAAGGGAGGAAAGAGGGACAAGAGACGGGGAAGCAATGCAGGATCACACACCGGGAGTCAGGAAGACCCTTGGGGGTCACCCAGCCCACCAGCAGCGGACCTGCAACCTGGAGAGGCCAGGTAACTTGCCTAAAGTCACAGAAGCAGTAACTTACAAAGCCAGGATTAGAACCCAGCTTGGATCGAAATCCAGTGGAAAGAAGAAAAGGATAGGAGGAGGAGGAGGCATAGAGGAGGAGAGAGCGTGGTAGAGGGAACAGACCAAGGAAGAATCAGGGAGGCCCATCTGGGAAATGGGGACAGCGTATATGGCCAGGCAGCGAATGCCACGCAGACAACAGCAGACATTTGTTAGGGCCCCGTCACAGTGACTGGCAGGAGCCTTCCCCCCGTGAAAAGAGGCTGTGGAAATAACAGCATCCTCACCTTAATCTGCTTGCTCACCCTCTCCCTGTTTACCATCCTTAATCCCATCCCAACCCCCATCTCTCATTCTTTTATCTCCATTCCAAACCTCGCTCCATTTGGCTTTTTCTAAATCCCTATTTCTCCACTGATCTCTAATCCCCAGGCCTATTCTCACACCTGTGGCACCTCAGTGGGCACCAGGGCATCAGATCCCAGAGCTACAGTGCTCTTCTCGAAGACACCTGGAGGCTGAGAGGTTTCTGGCTTCGGCAAGGTGCTTGGGGTGGCAGTGACCACCAGCTTTGGGGTGGATGCCTCTGTGTCCAGGCCAGAAGCCACTGCAGAGAGGGTGAGTGTGGCAGGGGCTGTGGCCTGGGCTGTGGCCTGAACTGTAGCCTGGACCGTGGCTGCCACCGTAGCTGGAAGAGGAGGAGGAGGGAGCTTTGGGAGGGTTGTGGTCTGAGAAACCAGCACACTGATTGTGGATGGGGGGTATGTAGGGATGCTGGCGGTAGTCGGGATGATGTTGGTGGTAGCAGCGGCAGCAGTGGCCGCAGCTGGGGCTACAGTGGCCACGGCGGGGGCCTCGGTGGCCATAGCTGGGGCTGCTGTAGTCACGGCCTCCGTGGCTGTGGCCATGGTGGTGGCAGCAGTGGGGACCACTGACACTTTGGTCACTGCCAAAACAGTTGTGGCAGGCTTGGGGGTGGGGCTCTCCAATGGCTGCATCTCAAAAGGAGTGCCCATGGGCTGGATGGCGCTGGTGGGCAGCACAGCTGGTGTGGTGGACAGGGCAACAGCTACATTGGTACTTATCCTCACGGCCTTCTCAATCCCAGACTCTTGCTCAAAGTCTAAAAGGAAGGAAAAAGAGGGAGGATTGTGGTGTTAGTGGGAACCATGGTGTTGTTGGGGTGGGGGGCTGCAGAGAGGACTGGCATTGTCTCACCCACTTTTCAGTTTAGTCTCCCTTTTGATAATATGGCAGAGAAGGGAATATGGCCTTTTCCCAAGGGTCTCCACCAGGCCAAGGAGTTGATAAAGCATTCCTGGGAAGGACCTGCTCCCTTCTCTCTGCCTATCAAAATTCAACCCATCTCTCCCCCAAAGCCAGACTCTCACCTCTTCCAGAAAGTGTTCCCTGATTACCCCCACCAAGGTCATACTCCCAATGAGCCCTTTTCATACTTTCCCGTGTACCCCACTCACTCAGTGGGCACCAGGCACCTACTGCCTGGTACGTTAACCTTTCATGGGCACCTAAAACCTACGCTGCTAGAGAGCGGGACAACTATATACTTGGAGACCCAGCCTCCAGTTCCAGCTAAACCACCAACACTCTAAGTGTAGGCAGCTAGGTGGTGCTAGGCCTGGGGGTCAGATAGATCTGAGTTCACAGGGTTAGTGTTCTCTGTATCCCTCACCGCACCCAGCACAATGCTAGGCACACGGGAGGACACACAGCACACACGTGCCAACTGGTTGAGGGGATAGCGCTAGGAGCCAGCAGCTTCCTAGTCAGGCCAGGCTGAGGGTCCCCAGCAGCCCAGAGGTGGCCATGGCAGAAGGAAAGAGGGACTGAACTTACAGCCAGAGCCTGAGCCAGAATAGTGGTCATCTAGCTCATCATCTGGGAAGGAGTCGTCGTCCCCGGACCCCTCCAGGTCCACCGGCCTCTCAAAGTTCTCGCTGCGCCATCGCTGAGCCTAGGGAGGAGCAGAGGGACAGAGTTCAGCACCAAGGAACAAACCAGGCAGTCAGCAGACACCCAGAAGGCCAGAGGCCACATAGCCACATACCTGCGGCAAAGAACCAGGGCCTGCAGCCACTTCCACGGCACCACTGAAAATCTCAGGGTGCCCACAACCGCGGGCCATTGTCCAACCCCCCCCACACACACACACACTTAGGGTGAAGATACTGGGGAGGCTGCTGAGCCCAGGCCTCCACAGGCATGGCTCAGCATCCCTGATTGGGTCAAACTCCCTTCTCACCCAATTATACAGAATCACAGGCCCTCGGTTTTTCCATGACCAATTCCCTAAATGCAAGTCACTAGCTCAAAGGATTTACTAAGCCCCTACTACACGTCCCACATCTGTATGCTATACAAAAGCCAAAAAAATAGAAACAGTCCCTTCCCTCAAAGAGCATACACTTTAGAATCTGGCAAACAGCATGTGGAAAAATAAATAAATATAAACGTTCTTCATCCATAAAATGCAATCTATAAAAAATGTAATTTTAGGAGGCAGTAGCAACTGGAGATGGCTTGGGGGGGGGAGGGAGATTAGGAAAGGCCCCATAGAGAAGGAAGCTTTCGAGCTGAGCTTTGAAAGCAAGGTAGGATTCCTAGAAGCAAGGTGAGGAGAGACTCAGGCTTGGAGAAGATTCTACTCAAAGCCTCCGATGTGGGAGATGACATGTTGTGTGAGAGGAAAAGCAGGTAGACCAAGTAGGGAAAACATGGCAGCTCTGTATCAAGGGGACGGGGGGGGGGCGCAAGCCGAGAGGCAGGAAGCAAAGGGGTGATGAGGGAAGCTGCAAAGGAAGAACAAAGTGGATGGGGATCAGAACCTTGAAAGGAAAGAGATTGCTGGGTGAAGGAGAAAAAGGAGGCACCCAAAACTCTTGTTTTGAGGGAAGAAGGAACAAAGGACGAGGAACCTAAGGAGACACGATGGACAGCCCAGATCTCTGCCTACAAACCACACTTCTCCCAGAAGGATCTTGCTGTACCCAAGACTCAGGACTTTCCAGAGAAGCTGCTGCTTTCCCATGCCCCCCTCGCCCTCTGAGGGTGGCTACAAGAAAGCAGAGCAGAGCCTGGGCAGTCTGCCCAAGAAGACAAGAAGTGTCTGGATTGGTGGTCAGTAGATGACACCATCTGGACTGGTTTCTCCCCATTTTTCGGGAAAGGCACAGCTTATGGACTCCATCTCAGACAAGTAAAGGGGGTAGGGGAGGGGAGGGAGGAAAGCTAGGGAATTCAGAAGGAGAACTTGGAGCCTGGTGTTCGGGAAAACTTGGGAGTCAAGACTCCTACATCCTGCTCTCATCTTTCCACTGACTACGTCCTCCTGTCCAGCCTGAATCAGAGATCTGAGGCAGTGGTCTGGGCATGGTGCTGTAAAAGTCAAGGGCAAGGATCTGATCCTTCTGTGGTCCCTTCTAACCTACATTAACTGACAATACTGAAGCTTAACCATGGATACAAACAAATCTGCTCTGCCCAGGTCTGACTGTGTCCATAATCCTGGGTAAAGTCAAATCCTATAGTCGAGTCAATACCTAGCAGGACCCTGGTCCCAGAAAGAGCCCTAACCATTGGGACAAAGACCCTCCCACCCTAAAGGCAGGTTAGGCCCTAATGCTAGACCCAGATTCACCCCCTAGGCTAGAGATAGACAGACTTTCGCCACAGACCCCAACTGTCCCCCAGACTATCCAGGCAACCGACGGACATCCTACCTACCTAGATCACAGACTAAGGCTTGACCCCAGTCACAGACAGAGCCCACATGCCAGAAACAAAAGGAGCCGAACACTAGATCAGCCCTTAACCGAGCCCTCACCTTAGACACAAACTGATCCCCTGACCTTGGCACTGAAGCCGGAGTCAGGTGGGCCTGGGCTCCATCCTGGTCTCTGACCTTGTAGAAATCGTTTAGTCTCTCTGGGCCTCAATCTTCTCATCTGCCAAATAAGGGGGTTGAGCTAGAGGGCCTCTAAGGTCCTTTCCCACTTCTGATCTATGATCCCATGATTCCCTACACCAGACACAAGATTAAGCCCTATTCTCACTAGCTGCGTGACCCTTGGCAAGCCATTTACCTCTCTTGGCCTCAGTTTCCTCATCTGTAAAATGGGGGGTAAAGACGTAAAGCTTGCAAAGCACTACATATCTCGTTTGAGCCTCACAACAACCTTTCCTGGTGGATGCTATTAATATCCCCATTTTTTAGATAAGGAAACTGAGGCACAGAAAGGCTAAAAGTCACAAAGCTAGTGAGTGCCCGAGGTGGGAATCTGAACTCAAGTCTTACCAACTCGAAGTCCAAGGCTCTATCAAGTAGGCCATCTGCCTGATCTGTGCAGTGAGGGGCTGGACCTAATGACCTCTAAAAGTCACTTCTGAATGTAGGATCCTATCATATCAACCACAGACTGAGTCCCCAACCCTCAACCACAGACTGAGCCTTAACCCTGATCATACAATGGCACCCTGCCACACGCCAGGTTTGGATACAGAATCATTCCCCGCTCCAGCCACAAGCTGATGCTCAGCCCAGGACAGAATCAACCACTCAGATCACTGCAGACAAGCCCCAAGACTGGCTACAGACTCAGCAAGTATCCCAGATACTGAATGAGCCCAGAACCAGAGTCCCACCACCCATCTGGTAAACATGATGCTCGGCCCCATATGAGACAGTGGAAACAGCCCGGGGGAAGTGAAAGGAAGAAGCATTTACATAAAGCCTCCCATGTGCCACAAACTTTGCTGAGCACTTTTTACTTGATACTACCCTGGGAGGTAGGTGCTATCATCCCCATTTTATAGTCAGGAAAACTGAGGCTGACAGCAGTTAAATGACTTGCTCCAGGTCACACAGCTAGTAAGTGTCTGAGCCCTGATTTGAACCCAGGTCTTTCTGACTCCCAGCTCTTTACTCCCCCTCCCCTCCTCCTAGGGACACAACTCAGAGAACAAACCAACCTGCTGAGGTGTGGGGCATCCTCCCCGTATGTGAAAGGAGGCATTAATTATTAGTAGCTAGAACTAAGTCATAACCCCTCCCTACCCCACTAAAGAAAAGAGTACTATTTCATGAATTCATTCATTCAGTAATTTACTGACAGCTTGCTAAGGCTGTAAAACTCTTTAATGTTTTGATGTCTGGAGGAGAAAATGAAAATATATTGCTGGCTGTTCCACGTGCCTCCAGCTGCTCGTGCCCTCCCTCCCAAACTACCCTGTATTTAACTAAGCAGTAATTCTCGGTGTTTATTCTTCTTTGTCAATGCACCCGTTTCCCCCCCCCACCCCCCCACCCCCATTAGAATGTAAGCTCTTTACAAGTAGGACCTGTTTCACTGTATTTGTAGCCCTAGTACTTGGGATAGCACCTAGCACATAACTGTCACTTAAAAGCTTGTTAAGTGGGCAGCTAAGCGGTGCAGTGGATAGAGCACCAGTCCTGGAGTCCAGAGGACCTAAGTTCAAATCCGGACTCAGACACTTCACGCTTACTAGCTGTGTGACCCTGATTGAGGAAGGAAGGAAGGAAGGAAGGAAGGAAGGAAGGAAGGAAGGAAGGAAGGAAGGAAGGAAGGAAGGAAAGTGTTAATTCATGGACAGGGAAGGTATAAGGAAATAATCTCTTCTGGATGGGGTAGCACAAATAGTTTCCTGGAAAAGGTGTCCATCTCTTAACTATATGCCTCTTCACTGGCCATGCCCCATGCCTGGGCTGCTTTGCCCCCTCACCTCCCCCTCTAGGTTTACCAGGTTTCTTTCAAGACTCAGCTCAAATCCCACTTTCTGCAATGGGCCTTTCTCTACCCCACCCCCCACCCCCACCAGTGTCCTCCCTCTGGGATTATTTCTCATTATCCTATATGTATTTTGCAAAGATCTAGTTGCTTACATGCTGCCCCTCCTTTAGGGGCAGCTAGGTGGCGGAGTGGATAGAGTGCCCACCCTGGAATTCAGAAAGACTCATCTTGAGTTCAAATCCAACCTCAGATACTAATTGTGTGACCCTAGGCAAGTCACTTAACCCTGCCTGCCTCGGTTTCCTCATCTGTAAAATGAGCTGGAGAAGGAAATGGCAAATCACTCCAGTAACTTTGCCAAGAAAGCCCCAAATGGGGTCCAGGAGAGTCAGAAATGAATGAACTAACTCCTCTATTAGAAAGTGAGCTCCTTGAAGGCAGGGACCCAGTTTCTTTGTATCCCTAGGGCTTGGCACAGAGTAAGAGATAAGTAAACACTTGTTGGTGATGGTGATGATAATCAATCAATAGACATTTGCTAAGCTTAAGCTCCTACTATGTGCTAGGCACCGTGCTAAGCTCTGGGGATGACAACATGCAAATAAACACATACAATGCAAACTATACATGGGATAAATTTGTTGCTATTATTCAGTCATGTCCGACTCTTCATGGCCCCACTTGGGGTTTTCTTGGCAAACATACCGGAGCAGTTTGCCATTTCCTTCTCCAGATCATTTTATAGATGAGGAAACTGAGGTGAACAGGGTTAAGTGAGTTGTCCAGGGTCATACAGCTAGTAAGTATCTGAAGCCACATTTGAATTCGGGTCTTCCTGATTCCAGGCCTGGCACTCTTATCTACTGGCTGCCCTAATACTGGATAAATAGAAAATAATTAATAGAGGGAAGGCAGGGAATTAAGAGGGGTTGGGGAAGGCTTCCTGTAGAAGGGATTTTAGCTGGGACTTCAAGGAAGCCAGGGAGGTCAGTAGCCAGAGTGGAGGAGGGAGGGCATTCCAGGCCCAGGGGACAGGCAGAAAAAATGCCAAGAGATGTTCATGGAACAGCCAGAAGGCCAGCATCACTGGCCTGAAGAATATATGTCGGGGAGTAAGGTGTAAGAAGACTAGAAAGGTAGCAGGGAGCTAGGTTATGAGGGCCTTTGAATGCCAAACAGAGCATTTCATATGTGATCTTGGAGGCAA